GTCGCGGGGCTTTGTCCGCTCTCCCGGGAACGCGCCCCGCGCCGCCAGTCGGCGGCTCCCTCGGGGAGGTCGCGGGACTCGCACAAAGGCCCGGAGCCTAGGCGGTTGGGGCTTTGGTCTCCAGACCAGGGGACATTCAGGGGGAGTTTTTTTTCTTTCTCGAGATAAAATTTACGTCTATAAATTTTATAAAATCGTACATTGAGAAAGTTGTGCGGTTATCGCCACTGCCTATTTCATCGCCCCCCGGAGAAACCCCCGCCCTGTTAAGCAGTCACCCCACTGCTCCCGTCCCCCAGCTCCAGGGAGCCGCTTATCTGTGAGGGTTACAGGTAGATTTTACAAACATTTTTGTCAAACCCACAGAACCTCGACGTTGCGGCTGGCTGTCGCCTGGAGCCTTTGACAGATTGCCACCCTCGCGTCTCGGATGGTGCTCTTTTTTTTTTCAGCTTATTCAAATCACCGTTCGTTTCTCTGCAGGAATTCTGTTATGTTTTTGACGGGAACTCTGTCTTACGATGCTGCTGCCTGGGAGCCCTTTGTTGCTTCTGCGGATGGGTTCTCTTTGTTTCCGCCGGATCCTCTGTAAGAAAGGACCACTTTCGTCTTTTTCCCTTTTGTTTCTAGGTTGGTGTTGCAGTTACATTCCTTATTTCACCCGAATCCAGTGCTCCTGCCAGGCGCCTGGTCCGTCAGTTAATCCTGTGGGATGGCTGCCATCAACCCGTGGGCCTCCTGGGGTGAGTCCAAACCTGGTTTCTTCCGTGCCTTCCAGTGACTTGCTGCATCCAGCAAGGTTAGAGCAGGGGAGGAGCGGGCGAGGGCCTCGGGGGATCGGAGGGTGTCTCTTTGGTACAGAATTAGAACTGAGTGGAAATGAAAAAAAAAACCTTGGTTGTTGGTGAAACGAGAAACTTGGTACAAAGTGAGTGTAATTTTTTCATATTTTATAGTCATCGGAGATATTTCATTAGTTCTGAGATTTTCCGATTATTTGTGGGGTTTCACAGCCATGCAGCCGGTGAAAGTTTCTTTTCCGCTCCAGTGTTGTGATTGTTTGTTATTGTTCTTCACTTAGGTAGCGTTGGTCTCTATTTTAAGAACAACGTTAAATAGTAGCGTGATGTTATTGGTGTGTTTTACCGCTAAGTGAGGTTTCAGGTATCACTAAAGACGGCAAAGAAGTATCTTTTCTACTACTTATGTTTTTGAAAAGTTAGGTAAAAGTTAACCATTTTATCAGATAATCTCTTCAGCCTTTAAGAGGTTCTATTCTTAATTGTTCTCTGCGTTTCGGGTATAAATCTGCTTATCGTGTTGGAACTTTTCCCAGACCCCTGAGCTCTGTTGGTGGAAGTTTGTTGTAACCGTCAGTGAGAAAGATCTCCTTTTCCATTTCGTGGCCTTTAGTCACTAGGATTGGTGTCACAGTGCTTTTCATTTCCTCGTTCTAACCTGATCTTTTGGTGCAGGTGTCCTTACGGACCAGTCCTGGGGGATGGCAGCTGTTGACCCATGGGCCTCCTGGGGTGGTGAGTCAAGAACCTGTATCCCCATTGGCCTTACTGGCTGCCATGTTGTGGCCTCTCCCAGCAGTGACCTGCCGTGGCCAGGGATCCGACCTGGGGAGCCAGGTGGGCATTAGGGGAGGGGATTCTGGTCTAGACCTGTCTGTGCAGAGCTGGAACAGGGAGGGCTCAGACACTCTGCAGAGGGATAAGTTGATAGTGACATCTCCAGGACAGGGCGCATGAGAACGAATGTGGTAACTTACTGTTCAGGCCCAGAAAAGCTGTGAACGGACAGAGTCTGAGAGACGGTGCCTCCGAGGAAGCGGGGCGGGCAGGGCTCACGTATTTCAGCACGTTCCCCATCTTCTCAGCTATGAGATGAGGAGGTGCGTCTCTTCCCTTGCCTAAGGGGTGGCAGGACTGGCTCTGCCTGCGCCCGCAGCGGGGAGGGACTCGACTGGGCGCGCTGCTGGCAGGGAGAGTTGCCTCTAGGACTTTGCCTTCCTCCCCCAGCTCTGTGTCCTCAGGACTCTGCCTGGCATGCGGACGAGACCCCGGAGGAGGGGAGGCGGGCCGCCGTGCTCCCAGCAGCCCGGGTCCAGGTGAGGTGGGGCTTCTGCTTTTTCCCAGTGGGCTGCCCTGTTCCCTGAGGTGTCCAGGTTGTCCCCAGCCATCCCGGTCCATGTGCTCTCACAGTTTACAGCAGCAGCTTTGGGTAGAGATGGAGTCACTCCGAAGTATGTCACTCCGGGGCACAGACGGGGAGAGTTCAGTTTTCCATGGCACAGAGCCTCACTGTTAAGCAGCCCGTTCACAGTCCTGAGCCCCGGCTGTGCTGTGGGTTGCTTGGCGGATGAGGGACAAGCCCCTCGGTTGGCAGCCCCCTCCCTTTCGCCCTCCCACCTCCGCGCATGTAGTCAGTGCCTGATTCAGGTCGCGCTGGTCGGTGAGTGCTGTGCGTGCCGAGGGGAGCAAGGCCGAGCTTGAACCCTCCTCCTGAGGAGCTCCGAGGGGTCCCCCTCAGCTGCGGAGGCCTCACGGCCAGCGTGGTGCGGGACATAAGGAGCCTGGGCCGCTTAGGGAGCCCTGGAGCCCTGGGGGAGCAGAGCCCAGCTAATACCTTGGTAGGTGGCACAGTCTGCACAGAGGTCCTGGGGCACGGAGCAGCCAGGGCCTTTGGGCCGCGGGGAGGGAGGCTGCCCAGGTGACAGAACGTACCTGAGCCAGGGGGCAGAGGAGTCACGTCACCAGAGTACGAGGTCCAGGGAGCAGGGCTCTGGGTGAAGACCGGGCCCCAGTCAGGTTTTGGGCGGGAGAGGCCAGGCCGAGCCCCGCGGCTCGAAGGCAGCTGCAGGCCCGGGCTCCATCCTCTGAGAACCAGGAGCCTCAGAAGGGCTGGAGCCAGAGGCAGCCGGATTGGCTGGATTCACGATGTGGCCGGAAAGATGTCCCAGGCTGGGGCAGCAGGGGAGGAGCCGTGGGGAGCAGGTCCACACTTCAGGCTGCATTCTGACAAGGCCTGGGGACGAGGTCTGAGGGGTTAGGGAGTCAAAGCACAGAGACCTCGTGACTTTGTAAGGGCACAAGGGTGATTGCCAAGAGAAAAAAGCACAGTCGATGATGTCGGAGAGGTGTCATCTCCCCCTGCTCGTCCTGCCCACTAGGGGCAGCCACTTAAGAAAAAAAATTTTATAATAGCTTTATTAAAATATTCATATACACGAAGTTTAATCTTAAAATACACAATTCAGTGGTTCGTAGTATGTTGACAGAACTGCGCCACCATCACTACTGTCTAGTTCTAGAACATTTTCGTTACCCCAAAAAGAAACCTCATACTCATTAATAGTCACTCTCTGCCCCCCGCTGCCCCCTCACACACACCCAGGCCTTGGCAACCAGTAATCTACCTCTCTATGTATTTACCTACACGGGGCATTATATATAAAGGGAATCATACAACATGTGGCCTTTTGTGTCTGGTTTTTATCACTTAGCATATTCAAGGATCATCATTGTTGTAGCATGTATCAGTATTTTATTTCTTTTTATGACTCAGGCGGTCGTTTTTAACCTACTGTTTGTTACGGTTAACCTCCATATTTCTATTATTTATTTTTCATTATTATTTTTTAAAATTTTTATTTTTTTAGGCAAGGCAACCCTTGGTTGACCCCACAGATTGCAAGGATCTTGTCAGTTTACAATCCCTTATTTTTTATTTTTCACGCCTACAGCACCAGGTCTTCCTAGGTGGTCTCCCATCCAAGTACTAACCAGGCCTGACCCTGCTTAGCTTCCGAGATCAGACGGGATCGGGCTTGTTCAGGGTGGCATGGTCGTAGCCCATATTTCTAAATGAGAAGTTTTTATCTTAATTCATCAACTATACATTTATTCTATTGATTCTCTGCTATGAAAGACGAAGAAAAATAGCTGCATTCTTATATTTACGTCTTTCGCTTCTAAGTTAAAATAACAAATCAACTAAATATAAGATATGGTGATATAAAAATGTTAATAACGTCTCTATTAAATTTATGCTTCCCCTCAAATTAAAAAAATTAACGAACCCTCCCACAGTTAAAGGTGACTGGTGAAGTGCACCGTGAGTGCGCCACCCCTGCCCGGCAGCGCCGCTGTCCTGGGAGGCAGAAAGGCCTGGACCGCACGATGCAGGGCGGTGGTTGTGTGGCGTCAGAACATGACTGTGGTGTTCGCTGCCGTGCTAACGGACATTTTTAAGTCCCGTACCAGCATCGGCAGTGAAGCGAGGCTAGGCTGAAGGATGCCCTGAATCAGTCTCTTGGGAACAGAATTTACTTGTAATGAAACACTGTGAAGAAGCCCTAACAACCACTGCGCTGCACTCTGCTGTTAATTTAGGTGAGGGTTTCTGAGAGTCGATAGATTTAACGCTGAGAAAATGAAACGGAGAATTAAAATAAAAACACCCTCCAATGTCTGAAGAGTTGTGATTTCTGAGAACATGCTCCTGGCCCCTCCCCACACTCACTGGATTCTTCCTGCGGGAAACTCAAGACTTGAATTGTGAGTTTTGTATAAGCAGGTCTTCAGGAACACAGATGAGAGCCCCATGCCCCTCTCTTGTTCCCTCCAAATTAAATATTTACTGAAATAAAGCATTCACCTGGTGAAAACATCAAGTGCTCCCATCCCGTGTTACCGGAATAGTCTGTTCTTGGAAACATATTGGATAGTGAAGTTTCAGCTAGCGCGAGCCCAGATCCCATCACTTCGAAGACTAGGGACAATAATGATAATAATGTCCCAGGCTGTCTAAAACCCCAGCCAGCCTCCCCAGATATGGAAACTCCCAAACTCCATCTCCGTCCACCGACAATTTCTGCACGATAAATGTTTTGCACATAAAACTGTAATACTCTGCGTTCATCCTTGGTGTAGTGTGCATGGTCTAGTTAAATTTTTCTTCTCTGCAAAGAGCTTGCACTAAAATACTAATAAATTAGAAATTCTGAAGATTCCAAAGAGGCCGTCTGAATTTCCCCAGGTTCCAAGAAGGGGGCGCAGTCAGAACATTCGGGTGATGGGAGCAGCCCTGTGAGCGCCCCGCGGGCACATAGCCGAGCCCCAGCTCAGCACCCTCCGCGGCCTCCCCTACCCCCACCCCCGCTTAGCCATGTGGCACAAAGCAGCACGAGCAGTAATGTGTCTGGGGCGGGGGACATCTCTGCAGGTCATCCTAGTACATGTTGGAAAGTGCGAGGTCAGGTGAGGTTTACCTGTGGAATGAGGGGCTCGCTCCTTCCGGGGCGGGCACCCTGTCCTGCCCCCTCACCCTACGTGTCAGTAATGGTGAAACCTGCAGTTCCTCCCCCGTCCCAGGAGCGTCCCTCTTGTCTCCAGGGCCGACGGGACCGGTGGCCTGTCTTCCGCTGCCTCCCTGTCACGTCCAGCCTTGGTTTTGCATGTTTCGCATCCCTGAGGCCTCCGTGAGCTGTGGACCCCGACTCGGGGGCATGTTCAGTGGGGGTCTCCCCCATCACATTCTCTTCCCACCCTCAGAACTCTGTTCGCAGGTAATCCGTTTTCATCCTCGTACATAGATGATCCACCATGTAGACGTAACACCGGTAATAACACTCTTTAAAACCTTTTCTCCATGCAGCTTGCTTTGCACACTCAAGGTCAACTTTGCGGTCCATCCACATGATAGATGACAGGTTCATTCCCCTGCCACATCCGAGGACGGACTCTGTCCCTCCCTTCCGTGGCTGGGCTTCTGAGTCCGCCGTCCCCCCAGCGAGCTGTGCAGCTGTGGTTTCAGTTCGTGCCCACATGCAGCGTTTATCTAGAATCAGCACCTTCCGAGTTTGGGGCGGGGGCGGTGTTTTCAACACGACTAGTGCTGCCCTTTGGCTGCCTCTGAAGAACCAAAGCCACTTCTCACTGCGCCGAGAGGAGGGGCTCATCGCCCTGCGTCTTTGCTGCCACTTGACACTATCTGACTTTTTGCTTCAAGAACAAAATGGAATGTGACATTTTCATTTTATTCCTTGATTGCTAGTGAGCTTGACTATCTTTTCATGTCATTATCGGCCATCCGTGTTTCCTTCTCTCCATCTCTGTCCCGTCCCCAGATTTCTGCAGGCTGTGACTTGCTGATGTGTAGGCATCTTACATGCATTCTGGGTCTCGATTCTTTGCTGCAGATAAATCACCCTCTCCCAGTCAGTAGCTTGTCTTAACTTTGTGCTGTGTTTTATTAGTCACGTGTTTTCAGGTGTATTTTTGTCAAATGTATCTGTCTTGGTTTCCGGCTAGTGCTTTTTTGTCTCTTCTAAAGAAGTCCTGTATTTAAAATAATTCCCTCCTGTCCTTTTCCTTTACCTTCTCTTCTGGGGGTCCACTGTCAGATGGTGGGCGTCCTGAACTGTGTGTCTCTGGTCTCATGTTCCGCGTCCTCTTTTTTTGGTGGGGGTGGGCGGGGAGCCTGGCCATCCTGCTTTTGGCAGCACAGGGCGCCCGGGGTCTTCTGTTACACAGTGGGCCTGCCGAGCAGTCGCTGCGTCTTCTGTCTCTCCTTTGTGTTCTCAATTCTCTCCCGTTCTCTCGGAGAGCCTCTTTTATGTCATCCTGTCCTGTTTTATACCGAAATCCCTCCAATCCGAGGATTGGAATTAGAGCTCAGTGATGGTTGGATGTGGCTGCAGCGTGAATTCTGCGTCTGCTTGGCCGCCGGGTTGGGCCATCCAGGGAAGAGCTGTGAGGCTGCGTTCGAGAGTCAGGTCTGGTTCGGGTGGGCCTTCCGCCCTCCCTGTCTCTGGCCAGGGCTGGATCACCAGGTCGGTTCTGCTTCCGGTTTCCTGGGCACACAGCTGGCTGGCAGGCCGTGGACTCCCCTCTCGTCCACACATCGGGCTGCGGAGGTCGCCGCTGCGGCAGTGCCCTCACCCGGGCAGCCCGAGAACCCCCACACTCAGCCTGAGGTGGGTTTGGGGAGTTTTGCCCATGTATCGGTGCAGGGCTGCTGGTGGCGGCGCTCACACGGTGGCCGGCTGGCAGGGATGTGAGGCACGTGCACAGCTGTCCCGGATACAGACCTTCCCATTTGTTTTCGGCCTGTGCCCCTGCCCTTGCTGTGCTGGTTAAGGTCAGAGCCCAGCGCCTCCTGGGTCCCACTGCCCCTGCAGCCCCTGCGACGTGTGGCGCCGGCGCGCCTCTGCTGTTTCCAGGGCTGCCGCGCTGTCGTCTGTCCTCCAGGGTGTGGACCGCCATGCGTCAATGGCTGGGATTTCTTTTACTTTCTTAAAAAGCCGCTCTCCCTGCCACCCCACCTTTTAATCTAGGAGGTTTTATTTTATTTTTATTTATTTTGTTAATCTAGGAGATTTTAAAACCCCAGGATAGACCGCGAACCCTGTGTTAGTTTCCTGTTGCTGCTGTAACAGAGTCCTGCGCACTTGACAGCTTAGAACAGCGTGAACTTGCTCTGGTCCTGGAGCTTCAGGCTGAACGGCCTGCAGGGCTGGGTCCTGGAGGCTCCAAGGAGGAGCTGCTCCTGCGTTCACCTTCGGCGCCACCTGCAATGCTTGGCTGGAGGCTTCTTCCTCCATCTTCACAGGGTGTTGCTCTGACCTGAGCTCCTAATGCCACTGCTTCTCCGGCCCTGAGCCTCCTGCCTGCCTCTTTTATTTATATATATATATATATATACGGACCCTTGTTACATTGAGCCCACCTGGGTAATCTCCTCAACTCATACACTTAGTTTAAGCATATCTCTACAAAGTCCCTTTTGTCATGTTAAGGTGAAAGTCCCAGCTTCTGGAGATTGGGACGTGGGGAGCGTATTAGGAGCATTATCCAGCTGACCACAGACACCCACGTTCACCAGCTTCGCCAGGTGTCAGCTTTCAGCTTTCTGCCTTTCTTTCCATCTGTTCCAACATACAGCCTTTTGTTTTGTTTTGTTTTTAACGCCTGCAGCACCCAGTCTTTCTAGGTGGTCTCCCATCCAGGTACTAACCAGGCCTGACCCTCTTCACCTTCTGAGATCAGACAAGATCGGGCGTGTTCAGGGTGGCATGGCCCTAAACCACACAGCCTTTTATAAAAAAAAATAAATGGAGTGTTTTCAAGCACATCTCAGATATGTTGTTTTAGCTGTAAACAATTCCTAGTATACGTCTAAGAGAGAACTACTTTTATCTTTTTTTAGAAGGATCATGAAACCTTTATCACCACCGACAAAATGAACAGCGTTCCTTAGCTATACTCAGTTGACCTTCAGTTTTCCTCACTTGTCCCCCAGCATCTTTTTACAGTTCGTTTGTTCGAGTCAGAGTCCAAGCAAGGACCACACGTGCATGTGCTTTGTATGCCTCAGACAAGAGGTCACGTGTCTTGGTTTGCCTGCTTTTGCCTTCGTGGTGTCACCGGATGAGCTCCTGTGGCCCTTCGCCTCCAGTAAGCTGGCGGTTGGGCTAGCGTCTGGATTGGGTTCAGGTTCCGTAATTTTGGCAAGAGTACTTCACAGGAAGTGCTGGGTCCTTCCTCCTGTGTGGTGTCAGTGGGCTCAAGGTGTGTGGTTGTCCCATTTTGAGATGATAGAATGGATCGACGGGAGCTGGGGGTTGGCAGGAGACCGGCCCCTCCGTTACCATGTTCCCATCTGCC